TCCTTCCCTCTCCCTTCGTCCCCTCTTCTCTCTTCACCCCTTCCTCCTCCCCCTTCCTCCCTCCCCTCCTCACCCCTCCCTTTGCTCCCGTTCCACTCCTCTCTCCCTCTATCCTCTTCCTCTTTCCTTCTGTTCTCCTTCCTCTTCCCCTTCCAGCCCTCTTGACTTTCCTCTCCCTCTCCTCCCCTCGTCCTCACTTCCCCTTTCTTCCTACCCCTTTTCCTCTTCTTCTCCTCCCCCACCACCTCCCCTTCCTACCCCTTCCCTTCACCTTTCTCACATCCCCACCTCTTCCCTCCCATCCCCTCCTCCTCCTCCTCTTCCCCTTCCTCACTCCTTCCCCCTCCTCCCCTTCCACGTTCCTCCCCTCCCTCCCCCTTCCCCCTCCTCCCCTCCCTCCCCCTTCCCTCTTTTCCCTTCCCTCTTTTCCCTTCCTCTTCCCCCTCCCCTCCCTCCCCCTTCCACCTTCCCCTTCCTCCCTCCTCCCCTCCCGCCCACTCCCTTCCTCCTCCTCCTTCCCCCTCCCCTCCCTCCCCCCTCCACCTTCCCCCTCATCCCCCCTCCCCTCCCTCCCACTCCCTTCCTCCTCCTCCTCCCCCCTCCCCTCCCTCCCCCTTCCCTCTTTCCCTTCCTCCTCCTCCTTCCCCCCCCTTCCCTCCCTCCCCCTCTCTCCCTCCCTCCATCCTCTCCTCCCTTCCCCTTCCCTCCCTCCCACTCCCCTCCTCTTCCCCCTTCCCCCTCCTCCCCTCCCTCCCCCCTCCCCCTTCCCTCTTTTCCCTTCCTCCTCCCCCTTCCCCCTCCTCCCCTCCCTCCCCCTTCCTTCCTTCCCCCTTCCCTCCCTCCCCTTCCCTCTTTTCCCTCCATCCTCCCCCTCCCCCCTCCTCCCCTCCCTCCCACTCCCTTCCTCTTCCCCCTTCCCCTCCTCCCTTCCTCCTCCCCCTTCCTCCCCCTTCCCCTCCCTCACACCCCCCTCCCCCTCCCTCCCTCCCAAATCCCCCGCCTCATAAAGACCAGATTAGCATAAACAAAGAGACCCCGACAACCCGCGGCGGCGAAAGGAAATCCTCACGGCCGCCATCTTGGACGATTCCTGCCTCCTCTTCCTACTTTTCTTCCTCTTCTCCTCCTTCTCCTCTTCCTCCTCCTCTTCCTCCTCCTCTTCTTCTTCTTCCTCCTCCTCCTCCTCCTCCTCCTTCTCTTCTTCCTCTTCTTCCTCTTTCTCCTCCTCCTCCTCCTCCTCCTCCTCCTCCTCCTCCTTCTCCTCCTCCTCCTCTTCCTCTTCCTCTTCCTCTTCTTCCTCTTTCTCCTCCCCTTCCTCCTCCCCCTCCACCTCCTCCTCCTGCTCCTCCTCCTCTTCCTCCTGCTCCTCCTGCTCCTCTTCCTCCTGCTCCTCCTCCTCTTCCTCCTGCTCCTCCTCCTCCTCTTCCTCCTCCTCCTCCTTTTCCTCCTCCTCCTCCTCCTCCTTCTCCTCCTCCTCTTCCTCCTCCTCCTCCTCCTCCCCTTCCTCCTCCTCCTCCTCCTCCTCTCCCTCCACCTCCACCTCCTCCTCCTCGTTCTCCTCTCCTTCCTCCTCTTCCTCCTCCTCCTCCTCCTCCGTGATCTCGACTGATACACACACACACTCATACATATACATATATTACACCCCCCATGATAGCAGTCCTCATTCCCTCCTCCTCCCCTCCCCCCTCTCCTCCCCTCCCCCCTCTCCTCGCTGCCCCTCCCCCCCTCTCCTCCCACTCCACCTCTCGCCTCCCCCCCTCCTTCTCCCCCCCTCCCCCTCCTCCTCGCCCTCTTCTCCAAACAGTCTATGAATTAATTACTTGACACGCAATCTCACGTCATAATCAACTAGGAGATGTTCAACAACAATTCTCCTTTCTTCTCTCCCCTCTCTTATTCCTTTTTATCTCTTCTTTTTATCTGTCTATGGGCTTTGTCTGGCTGTTCGCTCTTCTCTTCTTTTTGTTTTTCGATTTCTGTTTTTTTTTGTTTTTTTTTTGGTGGTGGGGGGGTCTGTTTGTTGTTCTACCTTTTTTTTTATTTCGCTCTCTCTCTCTCTTCTTCTTCTTCTTCTTCTTCTTCTTCTTCTTCTTCTCTCTCTCTCCCTCTCTCTCTTTCTCTCTCTCTCTCTCTCTCTCTCTCTCTCTCTCTCTCTCTCTCTCTCTCTCTCTCTCTCTCTCTCTCTCTCTCTCTCTCTCTTTCTGCCCTGCGAGGCAAAGTCATGCACCTTTTGTATTTTTCTGTAAAATTGTTTGTCGTCCACTGGACGTAATAAATTTAACAAATCAAATCTCTCTCTCTCTCTCTCTCTCTCTCTCTCTCTCTCTCTCTCTCTCTCTCTCTCTCTCTCTCTCTCTCTCTCTCTCTCTCTCTCTCTCTCTCTCTCTCTCTTCTCTCTCTCTCTCTCTCTCTCTCTCTCTCTCTCTCTCTCTCTCTCTCTCTCTCTCTCCTCAGTCTCTCTCTTCTCTCTCTCTCTCTCTCTCTCTCTCTCTCTCTC